AGTGGGGAGGGGAAGAAGCTGAGGGGGAGAGATGATGGAGGCAAAGTAACTAATAAGCCTAATCAGAATTGTCACTATGATCTCCCCATATAATGAGTACATCCTAATAAAAATTTTTTTAATAAAATAAAGTAAAGGTCACCCAAATCCACAGTCCAGGAAAAAACATTACTATTTGGCAAAGAGCTCTCTATGAAACATGTATCATTTGAAAATATCCAATGTTACAAGTAGGCTCATACTAAATATACTATTCTGTACTCTTTTGCACTCAATATTATTTTGGGACAAATTTCCATACTAACAAACATAGTCTAAGTAATGTTCATGACAGTTGTATATAATTTAATTGTACATATTGCTATAATTTATTTAATCCATCTTCTATGGGGGATATTTAGGTTTCCAATATTTCAACTTCATGGATATCATGAACACACTTGGGCTCATGTTACACACTTATGTGATTTTAATTCATTAAGATAAATTTCTTCCAAAAACTGGGTAAAAGTGTATCATCATTTACATTTTTACTCATTTTGCCAAATTGCTTTCTAGAAGGTTGTGCCAATTTCACTTCTGCCAACAGTGAATAAAAATGACAAGTATTCTTTTGTCAGGTGTTTTAATCTTGTCATTATGGGGGAACAAAATCAATGATTAATAATAGTAAAATAATCATACATTACTTATTAGCTATTTTCATTTTTAATAGGAGATACTTTAACTTTTATAACCTTTTTTCAGGGCGGATATTTCCAAAAACTTGATAAACAAGTTTTCAGTTTGCATTTTGTTGACTTCCTTGAGCCTTATTTTCCTTGATCCTGTAGTGACAGAACCAGGTACAATATGTTGTTTAAAGCCTAAATGATATGTGAATACACCCAGCACACTATTACTCAGAACAATGTTAATTGAATCTGCATCTCCTGCAAGTGAGTTCTTCTTCCTTCTTATCCCTATCCAATTAATGTTGGTCTCTGAGAATATTTTAAAATTAAGGAGCAAACAAAAACTCTGTGAGTATTCTTTTGCTATTTGTAGAGGTGATCACAAAAATTTACAAGGCAAATGACATCCATAAGAAGGCCCATAAGTTTGGTAGGCAATATAGATATTTGGAATAAAAATGCATCCCAATTAGATGATAGGAGCACATGATAAAGACAAAAGCTGAGGATAGGTAAGACACTTAAAAAACTAGCTAGCATTTGTTGCCCTTAATGCAGAGAAACTAAAGCAGATACCTTAAAGCAACTGAGGCCAATAGGAAAAGGGGACCAGGAACTAGAGAAAAGTTAGATCAAAAAGAATTAACCTAGAAGGTAACACCCATGCACAGGAATCAATGTGAGTCAATGCCCTGTATAGCTATCCTTATCTCAACCAGCAAAACCCTTGTTCCTTCCTATTATTGCTTATACTCTCTCTACAACAAAATTAGAGATAAGGGCAAAATAGTTTCTGCTGGGTATTGAGGGGGTGGGGGGGAGAGGGAGGGGGCTGGAGTGGGTGGTAAGGGAGGGGGCGGGGGCAGGGGGGAGAAATGAACCAAGCCTTGCATGCACATATGAATAATAAAAGAAAAAAAAAAAAAAAAAAGAACTTGTACCCTGAAAAGAAAATGAAAAAAAAAAATGCATCCCAAGAAAATATTTGTAAATTCAGCCCATGGACCATAAAATATGAATGTGTAATTTGAGACAAAAAGACAGGAACCAAACACAACAAACATCAATGTATTCCTTTCCAAATACTTGGTTTATCATTGCTTAGACATTGTTTGAGAATATTTTCCACCATAAAGAAAATTTTATAAACAATTTATATAATGTCTAATTTCTCTTTCCAAAGTTACCTCAAATATTGATATTTTAAATTAATAGCTTTAACTAACAATGGTGAAATAGAACCATTTAAGCAAATGACTGATGATACTTTGGATACCTGAAAGGCAAAACTTTGGGTGCAATATGGGTGATGGTCTTGGTACACTAGATCCCAATGACTTTGAATATGTTTTGAAAAACTATTTGGTTCATGCATTTAGCAAATATTTATTGGGCTACCATATCTGGCAGGTACTGTGTTACCCAGTAGGGATACAAAAATGAACAGGCCTTAACCCCTGCCTTTAGGGAACTTTCCAGTTTGTGGTAGAGGAAAGATAATTCAACCAGCAATTCCAGTATTGTGTGGTAGTGAGGTGAGGTTTGGGTAGGTGCTTCAGACTCCTTGGAAGAAGTCTATTGAAGATGTTATCAGTGGCCAAATAAGTGCCATGAAGAACACCTAAGTCAACAGAACAACAGGGTCTGTCATGATTGCCAAAGCATGCCATAGACTGCTTAGTGCATACTAATAGCAAAGTAACAAGGTTATGAGCTCTACAACCAAGCAAAAAGAAAAATTCTCTGAACCTCCCCACCTAGGAAAAGCCAGCAGAAAGCTATAATGTATGACCAAAGAACATGCTGATATTTATTCACTGAAATACAAGCTCCAATAAAAAGAAAAGAAACAACAACAACAAAAAGAAATACAAGTTTCATGAGGACAGAGATTCTTCTTGGTTTTGAACTTCACTATATTCTCAGATCCTAACACAGCATCAGCCACAGAGTCCATTGTATTCAAGGAATGGATGGATGCTTCACATCAAATGACTGCAGAGATGCCATGTCTGCAGTAGAGAAGCAGGGTAGTGAAAAAGGCAAAAGGACCTCAAGCTTATGTGTTTACTAAAAATTTGTAAAATCAACACATGATTTTTCATATCTATCCCTTTTCATAGGAACTTCGGTCTGTAGGAAACCTTTGTACAATTGGAGTACAAGAAACAGGCTTTGGAGTCAGACAGATGTGGGTTCAAACCCACCTCTTCCTCAAAATCTGGGAGGAGCTTAGGCAAGTTAACTTCTCTGAGTCCAATTCTTCACCATTGAGATAGAAGTCATATCTTCAGGATGATTGTGAGGGTTAAACTAGAAAGAAACATGAAAACTTCCAGACCCCATTTCCTTCCTCTTTATGTGTCCTTCTGGCCCCAGAGATGGGGCTGTGAAGAGCTCTAGAAGGGCTGGCCCCACAATTCATTGGATACCCACCCTGGAGTGCTTCTTCAGTGATCTTTTTCATCTCTCTAATTTTTTCTGCTTTTTCAGAAAGCTTCTCCAAGAAGCCTTCCTCACTCTGTCAATAGCGCACATAAACAAGTCCATGTCAACGCATGTGCTAAGCAAGTGTGTGAGCCTGGCATTAACCAGAGCTTCCTTAATGACATTTCATCAGATTCAAAGTGAAAAACAGTTTAAGACAATCAATTACTCTGAATTATCAGTGGTAATTTCACATGAATCCAGGTAATTTTCTCTATTTACCCAATATACTTTCAGACTACATCTACAAGCTAAATCAGCCTCAGAATGGTTTGCAATATAAGCTGAAGACTGCTGCTGCTTCCTTTAATTAACATGAAAAACCAAGAGTTGCCAAACTAGGACAAAGCACAAAAATTAACATTCCTAGTCTTGCATTGTGCACACACAAGTGATGGTCAGATGGGAAGACAGCACTGGGTAGCCAAATACCCTCATACCAGGTTGTGAGCATGAACTCTCCCAATTGTTCTCCTGGAGCCTGCATTAGGGCTGTCAATCAGAAAATAGTTTGTTGGGTTTTTAACCTACCTTCATGCCTTTTTAGAGAATTATAAATTCATGTTTTTGACATTGTCTATTTGCCTCACCCTGATTCCTGATGACTTCCTTCTTTGATTAGTTGTTCTTGAAATTGGATTCCAATCTGACTATTATTAACCCAACCATACTGACTCACCAAAAAGAAAATATAAAGTGTGGGCCCATTCCTCTCATGCCCAGAAAGCTAGAGTTCTACCCTTTCATTGCAAGCTTCCTGGAAAGGGAGATTCTGCAAATCCCCTGGAAATGGTTTCCTTTAAGTGTCTCTATTCATTATCATAAAGACAGCCATTATCCCTACTGTTGATTTAGTCAACACTGTTTCTTATTGCAAAATTTTTGATTATGTATCTTCATAGATATAATTTAATTCAACTTAATTTATAAGGAAACACTTGCTCTGCATAGGCTAAGATGCTAAGCCCTACAGAGGTGGCCCCTAACACTCAGAAATCATGATAGACAGTGTAATGGGCCACAAAGATTTCCACATCCTAATCCCAGAAACCTGTGAATATGTAACTTTACATAAGAAAAGGCACCATGCAGATGGGGTTAACTTAAGAATCTTGAGACAGGGAAATTTTCCTGTATTACCTGAAAAGTGGGACCAATGCAATCATAAGGGTTTTTATAAGATAGGCAAGAGGGCGAGAGTAAGAGAGAGAGGTAATGAAGAAGGTCAGAGAGAAAGGGAAAGGGGGGCGGGGAAGGAGACAGAGAGATGAGGGAGAGATTTAAAAATGCTACTTTGTGACTTTGAAGATGGAGGGAGACCATGAGTGGAGGAATGCAGGTGGCCTCCAGAAGCTAGAAGATACAATGCAGTGGATTCTCCCTTAGCACCTCCACAAGGAAAGCCAAGGATATCTGACCTCCGGAACTATAAAATAATTTGTGCTACTTCAAGCCACTGAATTTGTGGTCATTTGTTATAGCAACAATAGAAAACAAACATAGAGAGTTAACAGTGTAGTAAGAGAGATGACGCAAGCGACTTTGACATAATTCAAAAAGCAAGGACTATAAAATAGAAATACAAGAAATTGCTCTGGAAATGCTGATGAAGTACTTCTGGTTGGAGAGATTCAGGAGACTTCCTACGAACACAGTTTGCAGAGCCTGATAATTGGATAGAATTTCCAAAGGGGAAAAGAAACAGTGTGGGAAGGCATAAAAAAGAAATAAACAAAAAGGAATAAAAATTACTTGACTAAAATTTCATACATTCTCCTCAGGATATAATAGGACTCTGGGTTAATAAAAATATGTTTATTAATACTCAACAACTAAATCATATGTGATAAACTATCTGAAGAGATTAAATATAGAAATACAGATAATGTACAGGAATCCTTTCTCTCCAGAAAGCATGCTCCAGACAAGGCTGAACATGGCTCATTTCCAAACAGTCAAGGCTAACAGAGATGAATAGAAAATACTAAAGGCTAAGATAGTAAGAAGGCAATTCTTTCAAAAGGCACCTATTAACATATAAAAATTAGACATTTCCTACCACCCTCACAAGCAAGGAAAACCAAACAACAGACTTCAATTGATGTCCTTGGCAGAGGGAGGCAGGGAGGACTCTCTTGCAGATGATAAGAAGAAAAGGCAGTCCTTCTTTGGTAGGTTTTGGTGTTTTGTTTGGGTGAACCCAGAACCCAGATCTTGAGTAAATCTGAATGGCTCAAATTCAGCTTAGGTTTGATCACATTGGTTTAAGCCACTCTGATTTGAGGTTTGGGAAGTAAGGAACAGAACTGTCCAGATAGTGTGTCTGCATTACCTAAATTCACAGTCATTCATTCCCTCGGTATTACCACAGACTATGTCTTCCCACAGTGATGCCCTTTCCTTGGAAGCCTCAACCATACTTCCTTTTTTCCTTTACTTTCTGATGAATCTTATTGCTTTTTGTCCTGTTCATCTTCAGTCCAAAAGAATTTAGAAGAGCATCTGGTCTCCACTGGCCTGCTCCTGTATGAATGGCCTGGTGTTTCGGCAGAGAAGTCCAAATTTATCTCAGTGGCACTCACATTCTGGGGTGAAGCCAAATGCTCTGGGAACCAGAGCAGTTCATCACCAGAAGAACTGGGCATGTCACAAGCATCCTTATTTCCCTCACTCCTTGTCTTTCTGTCCAAGCCTAGAAATGTGACCTCAGACTGGCTGCATTCAAAAGGGATTTTCTGAGTCATCCTGTCTTTTCTCAAACTTTTCTCATGAGGTGGTGATCGTTTATTCTGGTTTTCATCATCTTCCACCGGGATACTTGGTACCTTACCCAAGAACAGCGGAGAAGGACACCTAAAGGACTTCAGTGATGTGGGAGGGTCTTCTGCAAAATATAAGCTGGCTTGAGTGCTTTCAAGAGTATTTAGGACCTGATTAACAAAGAAGCAAATAAAAACTGAGTTAAGTTTGAATACCATCCCATTTCATCTTTTTCTATCTCTTAGTTTTATGAAATAAATTCAAATATAGAATTTTGCACTAGAAAGGAACTTAAAGATTGGCAAAACTGCTTTATTTTCAGAAGTACATCAAGAGACTTGAAGCAAGTTATAAAAGAAACTGCATTGAATTAAACATCAAGAGACCTGACTTTAGTCCTAGACTTGCCACCAACGAGCTTTTGTGGCCTTGGATGAGTCTCTTTATATTTTTTACTTCAGCCATAATAACTAAAGATTGGAAGAAGGGAGTGAGGCAAGGGTGAGCTGAACCATAGTTTCCAAATGCCAAAATCATCCAGCGAGCTTTCTGGAAATACAAATCTCTTGGCTCCAACCTAAGGACTGTCACTCAGAAAAATAAGGAGATGAGAGGTCAAGGTATTTTAAAAGCTTTCCAGCTGATTTGAAGGTGCAGACAGATTTGAGAACCACTGACCTAACTAACATATCTTTTCTTTCTCTCTCTCTCTCTCTCATACACACACACAATCTTAAAACTACATATGGAGAACTTTATAATTTACAAAGTGCTTTCCTGTACATTATCTCACTTAAGCTACACAAATAACATCATTATTCTGATTTTTTTAGATAATAAAGCCAAGGCTGAAAAAAGGGAATTAATATTACTAGGCAGTAAGGAGCAGCCCTGATGGTTGACTCCAAATTGCCTGGTTCCAATTCCAGGTCCCTCCACGACACAACTGGTAGCTCCTTGCTGGGCCTAGGATCCCATACAGCTCTTACTGGTGGTGTCAGGCTTGGAATACGCTCTTCTGACTCCCAGTGCTCTTTACATTGTGTTTATGCCAACTCCTTGTTTAACACTTTCCCATGGTAGTAGACTGAGGATAAAATCAAAACCCCCAGAATAGAATTCATGTCCCTCCATCACCTGAAAGTGACTGCTATTTCAACCACTCCAGCATTCCCTCACCTCACCCTACTTCCATGATGCTGGATAATTGTAGTCTTATTGCTAGGCACACCATTACCTTGGAGCCATTGCAAGTGCTAATTCCCTCTGTGAAGAATGGTTTTCCATCCACACCGCTGCCCATAGCCAAACTGTTGGCTAGATCATAGCTAAGTTGTCAACACCAGTAAGGAGATCCTTTGGCCCCTATGGCTGGTGTGTATTCTGATGCCACCCTTTGACATCAGTCTGGGCTTCCATTTATCACTATGCTCATCTTATTGGACCCAAAATCCATGTTTACTGAGCTGACTCCTTTGTTCTGTAAGCTTGAAGGTATCACTGTTATCATGACCACCACTATATTCCCAGCACCTGACACAAAGTCTGTACATACAAAGCAGGCATTACATTAGTATTTGTTTACATTCAAATAAGCAAACAAACAAATAAATAAATGGATAATTATATCTATAGACAAATGAATAAATTAAAAATGAATAAGGAAAACATGTGCTACATTTTAATTGACTAGATATTTCAATGAATGTTGAATAAGATATTTTCTCCAAACTAGTTTTCAGGTTCCACCTGATAACAACCTCTAGCAGAGTACCAAATGCTGTGATTTTTTTTTTTTTAATCTAGAAAGGTTATCTATTAGGCTGGACTTCTCTGTTGAAGGCTGGGTTTGTCTCATCGATAGAGAATTTGCTTAGATACACAATTTATCGAACTTAGATTTTTCATAGTTCAGTTTTGCATGAAACCAGGTGTATACGCACTTCATCCATTGAAGGTCTCAATTTTGCTCGAGTTGAAACACACTGGCCTGCCAAAGAGAAAAGCTTGGCAGAGAAGTTCCGAGGACCAGGATGTATTTTCTTATCTAGAAACAACAGACATGAATCGAGGCCTCTTTTCTCCATCAGTTCCATCAGGAGATCCCGCTAAGGAGAGGAGGAGATAAGCTTATTAGCACAACTTGATCAGAAAAGTAACTAAAAAATAGTGGCAAACATGAAGACAATTCTTACCAGCTGAACATGTTTGGGATCATCTAATACCACTTTACAACCTGTCAAAACTTCCATGATTACCTAAAAGGAATATATATAAAGTTAGGTATATGTATTGACTACATACAAAATACTTGTTGCAAATATTAGCCATGACAATGAATACTGTCCTAATTAATTCCTTTATATTTTAATACTTTCCTGATGATGCAAAATTAATGTATAAAATAACAAGTAATAGGAAGCCAATGGGTCTAAAAGTTAAAGGTCTTCAAATTTTCTTTTTAGAATTTAGAACATTCTTGGCAATAAAATCTCTTCTTTGTTAACTGGTAGTTGAAACTCACAATTCCAAAGCTGTAGACATCTGTTTTAATGGAAAGTTTTCCTTGTCTGATATACTCTTCTGGCATGTACCACAGGTGTTTACTGCTGCTGCTGGTCATATTTATGGTACATGTCTGATGTTCTAGGTGGGGTCGTAAGTGTGCCATGCCGAAATCAGTTAGTTTGGGTTGAAACTGATCATCCAAGAGTATGTTTGCACTAAAATTGTGATCAAGGACAAACAAGGCAAAACATCATAAAGGCATTCAATGAAATACAACACAACAAGCTCACCTTGTTACCAGGTTAAGCCAAAACATTGACAAAATAAAGTCAAATATAAATTTCCACAAACTAGAGAACAATTAAATTTTTTTTCCTAAAGTACAGATGCAAGTGTTGCATAAAACTTAAAATAAAAACTTGACCTATAAAGACCTGCATTTCAAATTTGCAGGTCCACACATGGAGATGGTTGATGAAGCGGAGGCTTTCTCAATAGGATAAACTAAAGGTAACCAAAGTAGCTTGCCTTGTGCACTTCTTACATTTAATGAGAACATAAACTGAGCTTTAATCAGCTAATAGTTATTTCTTATGTGCATAGAGTATATTGTGGAACCTTTGGCTGGCCAGCACAGAGCCACTAACCTGAAATGACTTGAGGACTTTTTGGTAAACCCTGCTTTAATGATAATGCTACCTGATAGTTCCATCTCTGTGGCTTATTTGTTTTGTCTTCCAGTTTCATTTAAAATATAAATATCTGCAGAAGCAAAGGCAAAGTGCTTACAGTCAACTAAGTGGTTGTCACATGCAAGCCTTATTAATTACTTGTCAACTTGACTGAGAGTAACTGTCAGCTTACTTTTGCCTTCAAAAGGCTGTCATAGCCAAGAGAGGAAAGGAGAGGCCACGAGGGAGATGCATTTCACATCCAACTCTGCCTTTCCCTGGTTCTAAGACCCTTGGTGCCCTCTTTCCTCGTGTGTGAAGTGGGGAGAGCCACAGAACTTACACAGCTGATATGGGGAAAATAAAGTTCATCAACTGCTGGCGCTGCTGAATAAGTGATAACTAGGCTAAATGTTAACAATCGATAATAAGAGAGCAAGCAGATATTGATAGAAGAGGTAGAATGGCCATAAGAAAGTCACCTACTTCTGAGTTTTGCTTAGGGCTCTTCTGAGCTTGCTTTGTTGTCCTCTAAAACTAGAGAATTTACTAGTACACCTACCCATCCAAAATGCCAGGTGATATACATTACAACATTACTACACACTGTTATTAAAAGTGGTAATAGCTGCCTAGATCCTAAGAAATTCTTAATCCTGAACAAATATTAGATCTTACAAAAGTTCCCAAATTCTGTGCTGTCCTTGAACAAGCAGGCAAACAGGCAAGCTCTGGTTCCATGGGTCTGAATTGTAGGACTTACTATTCACAGAATTCAGAGATTTATTCCTATGTCAAGGCTTTGGGCAGAACAGTCCAACATTTGCAGCTAAAGCCTCAATAATTCTGATCCAGTCTTTTTCTAGGACTGAACTGACAACAGACAAAATGAAGGGGCATAGGGGGGTCCTTTAGGGTTAGAGAAAGGCATGCTCTAAACTTTGACACTTCCTTTACTTGGGAAACCCAAAGAGCCTGCCTTACTCATAAGCCCTACAGTCCCTAACTGTTGTGTGGGCTTCGCATTTGTGGGGAGAAAGCCAGACAGGCCCTTTCCCCAAGACTCATATCCATGACATAATCTTCATTCTTCTCCTTGCTTTGTCTCTTCTTCCCAAGAGCCTGGCAGCTGCTTGGGCCAGTCTGGCTCTCACATAGTTCCCTCTATGTCATTCCTCACTCATTCCTTCATTTTCTCTTTTCCAGAATAGTGTCAGGATGTTCTTCTGAAAATGTGGAATGACTATAGTCAGATTCTATCTTCTCTCCAGCACTAAGCAGGAATAGACATTTAGTTCAGAATTACCTCTTCCACAGTTTGCTTGCTCACATCAAGTCTAGGGCTTTGGGAATTGACCTGATGGTTTCAAAGTGCTGGGATTCATCAATGGAGGAGTTAGCCAGGTGGGCACCCCAGGAGGGATGGTGAACAAAAATGTGCCAGGGCTAGGGCCCAAGGTTCTGCCCCTCTATCTTCTCCTATTCCGAAAGCTACTTCTGCATGCCTTCACTTCATTTTAATACAGAAAGGACAGAATAAGTGCCAGATTTTCAATGTCTTTTTCCTCCTCCCCAGCTCAAAGAAAGCAAGAAATCTTAATTTACAATGCCAGAGTCATTAGAACACCAAAGCTGAATCTGCATAACATTTAAGAAGCTCTAGACATTTTCCCACTAAAAAAGAAAGAAAAAAGAAGCCAGAGTCTTTTCTAAGTACAAAAGAAAGGAGGGGAAGCAAGAACAACAATGAAACCCATAATTTAAGGCATTGTTTGGTCCTCAACAAAACTAGCAGAAGCTTCCAGCAATTGGTGAGTCACACACCTATGAAAGGTAGGCAGAGGTGAGCCAGGTGACCACAACATTCAGTGAGGATCTAGGGTCAGTGAGAGGCCACGAATAGGACATGAAATTATTCCAGGGCATTGCATTTACAATTTGAATCATGGCATTTGGTGAAAAGATAAGTTGTTTACCAGCAGACTTCAGTGTATCACATAAATTTTGAGTCCGGTGATTTACTCTGTTCTAAATAAAGGTTAACGACAGCTGTGGAAGAATGATGCTCTGTTTTAGGAGAGTGGAAATTGCAAGAGGTCGTCCAACAATCAATTTCTACCCTCATTCTTTCCCCTGCCTCAACTTTAAATAGAATGCTCAAATATGAAGTGCCTCTTCAGTTGACCTAGGTCAACTTGGGATGCCACCCAAGTTGTCTCTAGAGATTAAAAAGACCTAACTGGCCTCTTTGTAATCACCTGAGGCCACAGGAAACATGTACTGTCTGTGTCATGGCTATTGGAGCCGTGAAACACCCCTCTCTAGATGTCCTGCCTCCCACAGATGAAGCAAGACCCAGATCTCAGACCCACATGTTACTGGACATGTTGTAGACACAAACACACCACCCCCATTTCAGCATGCATTGCATACTGCCTAGAACAGTTTGAATCTAAAACTCTTCATTCCCCTATTTGATTGTGGGGTTTCTCTGTCTTCCCCCATTGAACACTGATCGTAGGCAGGTCTTAGAGAGAGGACAAAAGCTTGTTTGTGCTTTAAAGGTGCCTGGTAAGCCTAGGCCTTCTGTGCAAAGGCCCAGTCAAAACTGTTCCCCCTTTACATGGAAAATGTTGACTCTACACAAACTAACATAGCTTCCCTGACCCTTGGTTTCCATGTAAGCAAAATAATCTTCATCAAGTTTTTAAGAGTATTGAGAAAACATAAGGAGATTCCTGACACATAGAGAGTACCTCAAGATGTACATTAAGGGATATACACTGGTGGGCTGAAGGCATGGCTCAAGTGGTAGAGCACCTGCCTGGTAAGTCCAAGGTCCTGAGTTCAAATCCCAGTACCACCAAAAAAAAAAAAAAAGGGGATGTACACTGATCATTGTCCATCCTATACCCATTCCCTTACCTTAAAATCCCAAGAGGTTGGCTTGGGTACCTCTAGAAGAAGTTTGAGGACACTGACTTTGTACAGGGGTTGCAGGAGGTCCCAGAAACCTGAGTACCTTTGGGTTCATTGGTTTCTGGGAACCAGTTGAGTTCCAAAATAGTTCCAGAGAAGTCTTGGACAAATCTAAGCAATACTTCTAGATAATTGAAGACAATGGAGAAGAAAAATGCCTGGCATGTATTGTGCATGAACATACATATTCAAATGCATAAATAAATGGATACTGAGGTTTACATGCAGTAGTGGCAGATTAATATGGGAAATTTTAATTCATGCTATATTTAATTATTTTGGCATTCCTTAGGGGAAAAATGAACATATTTGGACAGCTTAGAAGAGGAGGGGAATGGGGAAAACTAGAAAAGTTTGAGGAAAAAGAATTGGTTGTATCTAAAATGTTTCTGAAAAAATAAAAAATATTTTTGAGGGACAGAGGGAGAGGAAGAAGACTGGTTCATTGAATAATAATCAATCAAACACAGATTTTAAAATTTCCTACGGCTTTGACATTGACACGAGGCCCAACTTTGTCCAAGTCTGCAGCATAAGAGCAGACAAAAAGCACAACAGCCTGGCATAAAGACAGGAGAAGGCTGCGTCCTTAGGCAAGAATTGGCTGCAGGAAGGGACCAGTCTGTGGCTCCCTGCCCCCTTTCTAGTTCTTCATGAAGGAAATACTCCATGCACTTACTTCAACATCCCTGATCAATTTCCATTTTTCAAAACTGCGTTTTTAAGCAAATGGTTTCCTTTCTCTTGTATGGAAGACTGTTGAACTTGGCAAGAGACAAATGGCAGCACCAATTCAAATGTGGTTTTATAGGACACATTAGAAATGTTCACCAAAATTATCTTGCTTTGGAACCATTAGCAGGAATGAATGTCTGGGATGAAAAATGCTGTGGATAAAATGCGTCTCAGTTTAAAATTGTTCATAAATGTGAAAACAATTAAGCTTGCTAAGGGATAAGATGGAAATAACAAGGAGGTTTACTGATTTCAGATGCTTTTATGTGATCCTGTAACTCAAAAACATCTTTATTTCCCAAATATAAATGTAAGGGTCTTTTTGCCAAGAATACAGATTGCAACTCTTCAGGGTTCTTTTCTTCAAATCCTTTCCTCCTCAAATTCCACCATCTGGAAGTGAGTTTTGTTTTTATAACATTCACTTTGAAGAGTTCAAATTACTAAGACATTTTGGGGCTGAATAAACCACCAGGCTTGCTGAAAATACCTTTGAAATGTGGGTTTTTGCTTCCTCCCGTGGGTGTTTTCAGCCATGTTCTTGACAGTTTCTTCCTTAGAAAGCTATTTACTCTCCCTGCTTGAACAAGCCAGGCTGAGAATGCAAAGCTCCAGACCCAATCGCCCCCTCAACGCTGGCTGCCTACTACCATTTTCTCGAGGAGTACAATTGTCAACATTTCCAGATCTGCACACACTGACTTTGCTCTCCTCTCCTTCCCAATTTCTGTGTCTGCCAATGAAGCCAACATGCTCTCAATAATCTGAGACTATCAATTCTCTAAGAGCATGAATGTTGGACTCACACAAACATGGAATGTCACTTCCCTTTCCCTCTCCATAACCATGTAAGAGAGGCAAATTACTAAGCTCTGTAAGCCTTGGTTTTCTCCTG